GAAGTGTGAGTCCTCCTACTTTGTTCTTCTCTTTCAATGTTGTTTTAGCTATTTGAGGCCTCTTGCATTCCATATGAAGTTGAGGATCAGTTTTTCTATTTCTGAAAGAAGGCTGTTGGAATTTTGATCGGGATTGTGTTGAATCTATAGATCGCTTTGGGTAGTGTTGATATTTTAACAATAGTAAGTCTTCTAATTCATGAACATGAAATATCTTTCCATTTATTTAAGTCTTCTTTAATCTCTTTCAGCAGTGTTTTATAGTTTTATAAGTCCTTCACATCCCTGGTTAGATTTATTTCTAGGTATTTTATTCTCTTAGATGCTATTTTAAATGGAATTGTTTCCCCAATTTCCCTTTCAGATTTCTTATTGCTGGTGTATAGAAACCCAACTGATTTTTGTTTGGTGACTTTGTACCCTGCAACTTTGCTAAATTCCTCTATTAGCTCTAGAAGTTTTCTTGTGGACTCTTTGGGATTTTCTATATATAGGATCACATCATTTAAGAATAGAGATAATTTTACTTCTTCTATTCCAGTCTGGATACTTTTTATTTCTTTTTTCTTCTCTTATTGCTCTGGCTAGGAATTCTAATACAAAACTAAATAAAAGTGGTGAGAGTGGGCACCCTTGTCTTGTTGCCGATTTCAAAGGTAACCTCTCAGTCTTTCTCCATTAAGTGTAATGTTGACTGTTGGCTCTTCATATATTTCCTGAATTATATTGAGTAATTTCCCTTCTATTCCAATCTTCTTAAGGGTTTTCATCAATAAAAGATGTTAGATTTTATCAATTGCCTTTTCTGCATCCATAGAGATAATCATGTGGTTCTTTTCCTTTCTTCTATTGATGTGGTGTACTACATTGATTGATTTTCTAATGTTGAACCATCCTGGAATAAATCCCACTAGGTCATGGTGTATAACTCTTTTAATATGCTGGTGGATTCTGTTCACTAGTATTTTGTTGAGGATTTTTGCATCTATATTCATAAGAGATATTGGCCTGTAGTTTTCTTTTTTGTGGTGTCTTTAGCTGGTTTGGGTATCAGGGTTATGTTTGTTTCATAGAATGAATTAGGGAGTATTCCTTCCTTCTTTATCTTTTGGAAGAGTTTAAACAGTATTAGTATCAATTCTCTAAATGTTTGGTAGAATTCCCCAGTGAAGCCATCCGGTCCAGGACTTTGTTGTTGTTGGGAAGTTTTTGATCACTGATTCGATCTCTTCACTTGTTGTGGGTCTGTTGAGACTTTCTATTTCCTGTTGAGTCAGTTTGGGTAGGTTGCGCGTTTCTAAGAATTTGTCCATTTCATCTAGGTTATTCACTTTGTTGTCATACAGTGGTTCATATTATTCTGTCATAATTCTCTTTATTTCTATCGAATCAGTTGTAATGTCCCCTCTTTCATTTTTTATTTTGGTTATTTGCATCTTTTCT